AATTCAGGGTTGCTATGCAGAGGCAGGTAATGGTATACCACCTCTGAATGTCTCAGAAGTCACCATAAGTCAGCTGTGATTTGACAGCACTTTACACACACACACACACACTCGCCATGTTCTAGGGCAGCCTATCTCAGGTAACCCGTTGCCAGAGGCCAGTCATTTGGGTTCTGGGTCTCTGCATAAAGACTTTTCAGGGGCATCTGGGGGGGGCATAGGATTAGGTATTCCAGGCCACGTCCTGCCACCCCTGTGAGGTCTGAGGACAGAGCACAGGGTGGACGTGGTGTCATTTTCATGTCTTGTCCAGATAAATACCTGGATGTGAAAAAAGAGCATCAGCAGACGCTCTGGAAACACATTCGTAGTACTCTAGAGTCCCCAGAGCATCAACTGACGCACTAAAATCACATGGGTTTATTTATTTGTTTTATTTAATGTATATCCCGCCCTCCCCCACCAAGGCAGGCTCAGGGCAGCTTACATTAAAAGTTAAAACATAGGCATTTAATAGGGTAGTTTTTATCATATGTGGTGGACTTGTGTATTAGCAAAAGAGTATTGGGGAAAGATTCATGAGTGGTTGCAGAAAATACTGAAGTCGAATGTGCCATATAAACCTGCACTCTTTTTGTTAAATATATCACCGGAATGTTTAGATAAGAAACAAAAACATATAATTATACATGTGGCTAGAATTTTGTAAGTGAAATATTGGGGTGGGAAATTTGTATGCAAAATATTGGAAATATTGGAATAGAATTTTGTATGCTAAATATTGGAAAGTGAAGCAGATGCCAACAGATGATGAACTGATTGAAAGGATTTTAGAAGTAGCTGAAATGGACATTTTATCGAAAAGGCTTAAAGGTTATGACAACCAAAAGCGGGAAACAGTATGGAAACCATTTTATATATGGACCCAAGCAAGAGACTAGAGAGATAGACTCTGAAAGCATAAATGTGTTAAACAAAGGAAACATGCTAAACAAAGGAAAGATGTATGTCTATTTGTAGAATTTGAATTGTGGCTTAAATGATTAGAGAGAGTCTCTGTGCGTTACTGCTTCCCGAATGTCATAACCCATACCCTGTCCCATCCCTACCTTACCCTTTCTTATGGACATTTATAAAAAATCTTAAAATCTAAAAGTTAAAACACATTAAAACACAAATCATAAACATCATAAAGGTCACATACAATAACAAAATAAGGTGCTAGTGGCGGAGTGATATTGTGTAGAAATCCCAGTAGGCCATGGTAGAGTGTCACAAAAGAGTATAGCCAGAGTTGGTAAGCAGCTTATCCGACCATTTATAAAGGCTGTCACAGGTTACTAGTAGTAGTATAAGGTCCTTGCCACAGTTCAGTTGTTGGAGTGGCTCCTAATCGAAGGCCTGGTGGAAGAGCTCTGTTTTGCAGGCCCTGCGGAACACTTAAGAGATCCTGCAGGGCCCTGATTCCTTCCGGGAGCTCATTCCACCAGTACAGAGCCGCTACTGAGAAGGCCCTGGCCCTGGTGGAAGGCCTGGCATCTTTAGGTCCAGGGAGGGCCAAACAATTTTGAAGCCCCGACTGTAGTGCTCTCTGGGGAACATGTAGGGAAAGGCGGTCCCTCAGGTAAGTAGGCCCCAGACCATACAGGGCTTCAAAGGTTAAAATCAGCACCTTGAAGTGAATTCGGTATGCTATCAGCAGCCAGTGTAATGCCTTCAGCACAGGCTGGATATGTTCACGCAAAGGGAGACCCATCAACAGCCTGGCTGCGGCATTTTGCACCAGCTGCAGCTTCTGGATTTGCGCCAAGGGCAGCCCCATGTAGAGAGCATTACAGTAGTCCAGTCTCGAGGTGACCATTGCGTGGATCACTGTTGCCAGATCATTGCATTCGAGGAAGAGAACCAACTGCCTAATCAGCCAAAGATGGTAAAAGGCTGCCTTACCAATGGCTGCTACTCGCGTCTCCATTGTTAAGGAGGCATCCAGGCATGCTCCCAAGCTCCTAACCCGCGGTGCTGGCACCAACGGTGCCCCGTCAAAGGCTGGTAGTGGGATCCCTAGCCCTGGTCTGCTCTGGCTCAGGCACAGGACCTCCGTCTTCGTCTTCATCAGATTCCATTTCAGTTGGCTCAGTCTAGGCCAGCCAGCCACAGCTTGTAGCACCAGGTCTAGATCTTCCGGTCTAGAGTCGGACTGACTGCCCAACAACAGATATAGCTTGGTGTCATCTGCATATTGGTGACATCCCAGCCCATGCCTCCTAGCAATCTGGGCAAGCAGGCGCATGCAGATGTTAAATAACATCGGGGAGAACACTGCCCCTTGGGGCACCCCACAAACAAGCGGGTGCCTTTGGGACAGGTGATCCCCGAGAGCCACCCTTTGTCCCCAACCTTGGAGAAAGGAGGCGAGCCATTGCAAGGCAAGCCCCTGAATCCCAGTGTCAGCGAGGCGGTGAATCAGTAACTGATGGTCGACCATGTGGAATGCCGCTGACAGGTCCAAAAACAACAGCACGGCTGATCCGCCCCGATCCAGATGTCTCCGGAGGTCGTCCGTGAGAGCGACCAGTGCTGTCTCCATCCCATGGCCTGGGCGAAAGCCGGACTGGAAGGGATCTAACATGGAAGTATCATCCATAAAGCCCTGCAACTGTAACACCACCGCCCTCTCAATTCATTTGCCCAAATAGGGCAAATTGGAAACCAGCCAGTAGTTTGCCGATTCGGCTGGGTCCAGAGGTGGATTTTTAAAAGGACCATCACATCCTTGAATGCCCCAGGGAACAGTCCCTTGAAGAGGGACATTAATAATCTCCCTAAAAGCACCTCAAAACCCCTCATGGCCAGCTTTAATGAGCCCTGAAGGACACAGATCAAGGGTCGAGAGCAATCTGTCGACTTCCTCTAGACTGAGTGGGCTGAAGTAATCCAAAACCGGACTAGAAGACATGCATGGAGCCTCAAGTTCACTCACTGTCTCAATTGTGGCAGGGAGATCACGGCCAAGCAACAAGACCTTATCTGTGAAATAACTCGCAAAAGCTTTGCAGCCAATGTCCAATTCCCTAACATTTGACCTGCCCTGTGGCAGGACTGTCAGATACCAAATAGTTCTAAATAATTGGGCTGGGCGTGAGCTTGCAGACACAACCGTAGCCGCGTAAAACTCTCTCTGCACAGCTTTGATTGCCATCTCATAGGATCTCATAAATGACCTGTAGGATGTTCTTGCAGCTTCGTTGTGAGAGCGCCGCCACTGTCTCTCTAGCTGTCTTAGCCTTCTCTTCATCAGCCGCGGCTCCTGGGTAAACCAGGGAGCTAGCCTAGAGCGAGGGCACAGAGGGCGTTGGGGAGCGATCTTGTCAACGGCTGCAGAAAGTCGGCTGTGCCAATCCTTTACAAGCTCATCCAACGAACCGCCCGGAGGCATCGGATCCCGCAGAGCCATCTGAAGCCACATAGGGTCCATTTGGCTCCGCGGGCGAGCTAAAGTACGCTCACCTCCCAAACAGGGTTGGGGAGGCACCTTCAGATGGGCCTTCAGGACATGGTGGTCCGAAACATGGCACTGCCGTAGCAGTGATTCGGTCCACTGTAACCCCTGCCACGAAGATCAAATCAAGCGTGTGCCCAGCCCAGTGAGTGGGATCCGTTACATGTTGGGAGAGTCCCAGTGCCGCCATGGACGACACTAGGTCTGCCACCTGTGTGGAGGCTGCATAATCCGCATAGACATTGAAGTCGCCCAAGACTATCAGTCTAGGGTGCTACAATGCCGAGCTTGACACAGCCTCCATCAGGGATGGCAGGCTAGCAGCCGGTGCGTTGGGCAGACAGTACACCACCCAGATAGCCAAACTCTCCCTGGCTTCCCACACTAGACCAGCACACTCAATGCCTGTGAGCTTCGGCGGCAGGAGCACCCTGAAGGAGTAAGGCTTGGATTAGGGCCGGATGTGATGGCAACGTATCGTACCACGTGATTTCCAGGCGACTCTTTCCTCTGCCATTCCAGACTCCAGGATGGGTAACAAGGCCCAGCAGGCGGGAGAAGGTCATGCCTGGGCTTTTGGTCTGATCCAGCAGGGATGCTGCAACCATTAGAGCTCCAGGGCATATTCCAAGTCTCACAGAAGTCTGAAATGTGTTGGCAGCTTTTGTAACCTCCTGAGGTTCATGGGAACGGGGATGCATAAGCAGCATTGAGAGAAACAAACAAAATAGGAATTGGAGGCTAAAATTCCTCCTTCCAATTTTGTCTCCCTTGCAGGCAGTGAAGAGACGTTAACAAGCCGTTTTCTTTGCAGAGAAGTGGAAATGGCTGCTCGACCTTTGGTCCAGGTATGGCGGATGAACGGGGGATAGCCAGGGCCCTCACTCCTTTCTCAGGGACACTTTCGCTCCTGCTTTCTGAGGCAGAGAGGCTCTGAACAGCACTGCTTTTACACATACCAAGCTCTACATTCTGCACCCTGATGAAATACCCCCCATCAAGAGTGTAGTCTCTGCCTGGCCATGATCGCTGACGAGGGAATCTGCTTTTTCTTTCAGTCTCCATTTTCCTTTGAGGAGGTGGCCATTTATTTCACTGTGGCTGAATGGGGCCTGCTGGATCTGAGCCAAAAAGCTCTCTACAGGGAAGTCATGCTGGAGATCTATGGGAGCCTGGCTTTTCTGGGTAAGGATCTTTCACAGGTGCCAAAGGTGTGAATTGCTGCCATTGGGATGATGCAGGAATCAAAATATTGAACAGCAATATATGAAATATTTGGAGTGTGGCTGAAAGTTCAGGTGCAGATCAGAGCTCCTTGCGTGAATTCTAACAGGATGTCTATCCCCCCCCCTCTATTTCAGCAGGGGATGATCAGAGGAATGAAGAGGATGAGGAACTGCATCATCTATCTCCAGATGAAGTCAAGGATGAAGATGTGGGAAGGAACGTCAGGATTCAACACAGGCCTAAGTGGCAGAAAGTCTGCCGCAGGGTGAAGAAGATGGATAACTCCAGTCCTTCCCTAGGGGAGAATTTTCAAGAAGTAGTTCACATGTTGGAGGAAACATACAAATGCTTGGAGTGTGGAATGAACTTCTCTGATCAAACGCAATATAATGTCCATTTTGGAATGCACAGTGGAAAGAAGACCCATCAAAGCCTGAAGTGTGGAAAGACCACGATTTGCAGAACAGAGTTCCTTAGACATTTAAGAACACATACAGGAGAGAAACCTTATAGCTGCTCAGACTGTGACAAGAGCTCAGAGAAATCAGACCTTCTTCAACAGCAAAGAATTCATTCAGGAGAGAAGCCCTTTATCTGTTCGGAGAGTGGAATGGTGTTCGTGGATGGAAGAAAGGGTAATATACATTATTCAAAACACAAGATAATAAAGGCATGTAAATGCTTTCGGTGTGGAAAAAACTTCAGATACAGATCACAGCTTTTTGTGCACCAACGAATCCACTCAGGGGAGAAACCCTTTCAATGCTCAGAGTGTGGAAAGAAATTCAGTCATACCTTCCTTCTTAAACAGCATCAAATAACCCACTCGAGAGGGAAACGTTTTGAATACTCAGAGTGTGGGAAGAGATTCAGCAAAAGTGGCCATCTACAGAGTCATCTAAAAAAACACACAGGGGAGAAGCCTTTTGAGTGCTCAGAGTGTGGGAGGAGATTCAGTAAGAGTGGCAATCTTCAAACTCATCTAAGAACCCACACAGGGGAGAAGCCTTTTGAGTGCTCAGAGTGTGGGAAGAGATTCAGTCACAATGGCACTCTTCAAACTCATCTAAGAACCCACAAAGGGGAGAAGCCTTTTGACTGCTCAGAGTGTGGGAAGAGATTCAGTCAAAATAGCCATCTTCAAGAACATCTGAGAACCCACACAGGGGAGAAGCCTTTTGAATGCTCAGAGTGTGGGAAGAGATTCAGCAACAGTGGCTATCTTCAAACTCATCTAAGAACCCACACAGGGGAGAAGCCTTTTGACTGCTCAGAGTGTGGGAAGAGATTCAGTCAAAATAGCCATCTTCAAGAACATCTAAGAACCCACACAGGGGAGAAGCCTTTTAAATGCTCAGAGTGTGGGAGGAGATTCAGCAAGAGTGGCCATCTTCAAAATCATCAAACAACCCACACAGGGGAGAAGCCTTTTGAGTGCTCACAGTGTGGAAAGAGATTCAGTCGGAGTAGCAGCTTTCAAGAACATCTGAGAACCCACACAGGAGAGAAGCCTTTTGAATGCTCAGTGTGTGGGAGGAGATTTAGCAAGAGTAGTCATCTTCAAAATCATCAAACAACCCACACAGGGAAGAAGCCTTTTGAGTGCTCAGAGTGTGGGAAGAGATTCAGTAGGAGTAGCAGTCTTCAAAAACATCTAAGAACCCACACAGGGGAGAAGCCTTTTGAATGCTCAGAGTGTGGGATGAGATTCAGCAACATTGGCCATCTTCAAAGACATCAAAGAACCCACACAGGGGAGAAGCCTTTTGGATGCTCAGAGTGTGGGAAGAGATTCAGTCAGAGTAGCACTCTTCAAGAACATCTGAGAACCCACACAGGGGAGAAGCCTTTTGTATGCTCAGAATGTGGAAAGAGATTCACCAACAGTGGCCATCTTCAAAGACATCTGAGAACCCACACAGGGGAGAAGCCTTTTGAGTGCTCAGAGTGTGGGAAGAGATTCAGCAACAGTGGCCATCTTCAAAGTCATCTGAGAACCCACACGGGGGAGAAGCCTTTTGAGTGCTCAGAGTGTGGGAAGAGATTCAGTTGGAGTAGCAATCTTCAAAGTCATCTGAGAACCCACACAGGGGAGAAGCCTTTTGAGTGCTCAGAGTGTGGGAAGAGATTCAGCAACAGTGGCTATCTTCAAAATCATCTAAGAACCCACACAGGGGAGAAGCCTTTTGAATGCTCAGAGTGTGGGAAGAGATTCAGTTACAATAGCGCTCTTCAAAGACATCAAAGGACCCATACAAAGGAGAAGCCTTTTGAGTGCTCAGAGTGTGGGAAGAAATTCAGTCAGAATAGCAGTCTTCATAGACATCTGAGAACCCACACAGGAGAGAAGCCTTCTGAATACTTTTGCGTGTGGGTAGAGTTTCAGTCAGAATAGCAATCTTCATAAACATCTGAGAACCCACACAGAAGAGAAGCATTTTCGGTGCTTAGAATGTGGGAAGAGATTCAGTCATAATAGCCATCTTCAAAAACATCTGAGAACCTACAAAGGTGAGAAGCCATTTGAATGCTCAGAGTGTGGGAAGAGATTCAGGCCATCTTTAACAGCATCGAAGAACCCACAAAAGGAAAAGCCATTTAAATTCTTAGCCCAGGGAGGGATGTCGAACTCAATTGTTACAGGGATATGACATAAATTTCACTTTGTCTGGCTTGGCCATATGTGCTATAAAAATGTAATGCCAGGTACAAGAGATATAAACTTTTGAAAGGACATAGGCAAACCCAATTAACAATATTATTTAGAATTTTAGACGCAAAAACCTTACGTTGGGGGTAATTTGGACCCCAAATCTGGTAAAATTTGCTAACGTCAACTTCAGGAACCTTATCCTTCTGTACAGCATCACATTGGTACCTGTGATTTCTGGCATCTTTTCACTGGCAGCTGGGGAACAGTGTCAATGTCCCATTTTGTTGACTGTAGCAACTCTCTATCTGTAATCCACCTTCAGTCTGCCTCCCATCGTAGAGAACCTTTTTCTGTCCATCTCCTCCCCCCCCTTGCTCCTCAGCAGATGTAGTACTTTTCTCTTTCTGAAAATACACTTTGTCACTATACTCAATCAGCAACCTTTTTGTCTACAACCCCGGAAGCATTTTTGCGTTTGAAGCAGGGTTTCTTCCCCATTTAGAGAGGTTCCCCTGAAACATATGCATACAACATCCGACTTCAGTTCTTCAAATTAACCTCTCGCTAGTATTATATTCCGGAACAGTTAACAAAAATGAAACTCTCCAACAGCTCCTTATGCTGGAAACTTTTTGGCCTCATAGGCTCATACTATCATTGCTGGTGGGAATGTCCTAAGATATATCCTTTTTGGTGTGATGTTATCAGTCAGATTAATTCAGGACTGCCCATCAGTCGTGAATTGGCTCTTCTTAATCTTATGGATCCTATATTTGGAACAGCAGCTCTTAAAGAGCTCATCTCGAGTTTACTTGCTGCGGCAAGAACAACCGTAGCATCGGTTTGGAAATCTACCACTCTCCCGGCTTGGCACAATAAAATTTGGGACCAATTTATTCTAGCGAAAATCACAAATAAGGATTCATCCTCTGCGCCCTCATGCTTTGAATCCATTTGGTTCTGGTTAATTCAGTATATGACGGTTAAGAATGTACTTCCAGCTAACGCTTCTTACCTTTCTTGGATACGTTTCCGATCTTAAATCTGGTTCACAGGGTTGTTTGGGTCTCTTATAGCAAATAGGTTTCATTGCAGCAGTTACAAATATTTCTTTATTGTGCTTAGTATACTTACATGATTGTGGTGCATAGAAAACTCCTGAGCGTTTTCGATGGCTGTTCATTCTTATGTAATCAAAAAATGTTCTTTAAGGTTTTTGGTTGTTTTTTACTCTGTCTGTGGTTCAAATGTTGGTTACGCAATTTATTTTGTTATTATTATTTGTTGATGCTTCTTAATAAAATAAAAACAACATATACATAAAATATATCCAAGGAACTGGAGCCACTGCCCTCAAGACTAGCTCAATCCACCACAAAAATCATGAACCCTCCACAGATTCATCAGCCACCTGTCCATGAACTCCTAAATCATCCCTTTTCTTCCACCAACTGTGATTCATCAACACCAAACCACTTGTCAAGAAATTGGACCTGTAGATTGAGGGAATGCTGTTGATGTTGTTTACCTGTATTCCAGTAAAGTTTTTGACAGGGTTCCCCATGATGTTCTGATGGGTAAACCAGAGGCCCGTGGACTGGACTCTAGGGTAGTTAGGTGAACAGGGAACTGATTGGAGAACCGCACTCAAAGAGTAGTTGTCAATGGCATTTCATCTGAATGGAGGGAGGTGTCCAGTGAAACGCCACAGGACTCGGTACTTTTCAGTATTTTTATAAATCATCTGGATCAGGGCATGGAGGAATTACTCATTAAATTTGCAGATAACACCAAATTAGGAGGGGCAGCGAACACAACAAAAGATAGAGATAGAATTCAACAAGATCTGAATACACTGGAAAATTGGGTGGATGTGAATAAGATGCAGTTTAACAAGGATAAGTGCCGAGTTCTACATCTGGGAAACAAAAATGAGGAACACGCATATGGGATGGGGGGTACACTTCTGGGGTGCGGATGGACGGTAGGTTAAATATGAGCAGCCAGTGTGATGCAGTGACAAAAAAGGCTAATGCGATCAGCAGAGGGATAACATCTAAATCACAAGATGTCACAGTCCCACTGTAGACTGCATTGATCAGGCTGCACCTGGAGTATTGTGTGCAGTTCTGGAGGCCTCACTTCAAAAAGGATATGGACAGAATGGAGCAGTTGCAGAGGAGAGCGGCGAGAGGATGATTGGGGGGGGGGGCTGAAGACCAAGCCCTACAACGAAAGGCTGAGGGACTTGGGAAGTCTGGGAAGAGGAGGTTCAGGGAGGACATGATTGCTCTCTTAAGTAGTTGAAGGGCTGTCACTTAGAGGAGGGCAGGGAGCTGTTCCTGTTGGCACCAAAGGATAGGATTTGTAATCATGGGGTTAAATTAATGGAGGGAAGATACCAGCTAGATACTAGGGAAAACTTTTTGAAAGTCAGAGTTGTGCAACAGTGGAATCAGCTGCCTAGGGAGCTCACTGGCAGTCTTTAAGCAGCGGCTGGACAAACACTGGTCAGGGATGCTCTAGGCTGATCCTGCGTTGAGCAGTGGGGTTGATGGCCTGTATGACCCTTTCCAACTCTGTGATTCTATGATTCTGATTTCTTGTTAAGAACATAAGAGATGCCAATGTTGGATCAGGCCAAAGGCCCATCCAGTCCAACACTCTGTATCCCACAGTGGCCAGAAATACCAGTGCCATCAGGAGGTCCACCAGTGGGGCCAGGACATTAGAAGCCCTCCCACTGTTGACCCCCCCCAAGCACCAAGAAGACAGAGCATCACTTGCCCCAGAGCCCCTAGCTATACCTTGTGGCTAATAGCCACTGATGGACCTCTGCTCCATATGCTTATCTAATTCCCTTTTGAAGCCGTCCATGCTTGTAGCACCCACCACTTCCTGTGGCAGTGAATTCCATGTGTTAATCACTCTTTGGGTGAAGAAGTACTTCCTTTTATCCGTTCTAACCCGACCGCTCAGCAATTTCATGGAGTGCCCACGGGTTCTTGTATTGTGAGAAAGGGAGAAAAGTACCTCTTTCTCTACCTGCTCTTTCCCATGCATAATCTTATAAACCTCGATCATGTCACCCCTCAGTCGTCTTTTCTCCAAGCTAAAGAGCCCTAAGCGCTTTAACCTTTCCTCATAGGGAAAGTGTTCCAACCCTTTTATCATTCGAGTTGCCCTTTTCTGCACTTTTTCCAAAGCTATAATATCCTTTTTAAGGTGTGGTGCCCAGAACTGCACACAGTATTCCAAATGAGGTCTCACCATTGATTTATATAGGGGCATTATTATATTGGCTGATCTGTTTTCAATACCCTTCCTAATAATCCCCAGCATAGCATTGGCCTTCTTTATTGCAGTCACACACTGTCTCGACATTTTCAGTGAGTTATCCACTACAACTCCAAGATCTCTCTCTTGCTCAGTCTCTGCCAGTTCAGACCCCATCAATGTGTATTTATATTTAGGATTTTTGGCTCCAATGTGCATCACCTTGCACTTGGCCACATTGAACCCCATTTGCCATGTTGACGCCCACTTGCCCATCTTTGACAGATCCCTTTGGAGTGCCTCACAATCCTCACTGGTTTTCACCACCCTGAACAACTTCGTATCATCCGCAAATTTAGCCACTTCACTGCTTACTCCCAACTCCAAATCATTAATGAACAAGTTAAAAAGCAGTGGACCAAGTACTGATCCCTGTGGTACCCCACTGCTTACCCCCCTCCACTGGGAGAACTGCCCATTTATACTCACTCTCTGTTTTCTATTAATTAGCCAGTTTTTGATCCATAAAAGGACTTGTCCTTTTATCCCATGATTTCTGAGCCTTTGATGAGGAACTTTATCAAAAGCTTTCTGGAAGTCAAGGTAAACAATATCTATTGGATCCCCCTTGTCCACATGTTTGTTCACCCCCTCAAAGAACATTAACAGGTTAGTGAGACAAGATCTTCCCTTACAGAACCCATGTTGAGTCTGCCTCAATAGGTTTTGTTCATCTATGTGCCTACTAATTCTTTCCTTAATAATGGTTTCCACCAATTTACCCGGTATCGACGTCAGACTGACTGGCCTGTAATTTCCCAGATCTCCTTTGGAACCCTTTTTAAAGATGGGAGTGACATTAGCTACCTTCCAGTCCTCAGGAATGGAGGCTGATTTTAAGGAGAGATTACATATTTTTGTCAGGAGATCCACAGACCAAATGGAAATCAACTGGCTGATGATAGTGAAGAGTTAGCAAATTGACCTTGTGACCATTGAATAACATTTCAGATACAGAGACAAACCTTTTTAATTACCAGGACTTGGCGCCAAGTCATCTCACACTCCTTCCATTGTTGCTGTGATTCAGACTACATCAAGGGATGTGTTAGAGTGCTGATTTCCCCTCAGTCGCTTCATAAACTAGGCCTCCTCCTGAGCCATGTGTTGTTAGCAGGTTCAGGTCAACATAACTTCAGTGGTCAACATAACACTCAGAACTCCGGCCTTAACAAGCGTAGTTTTACTGCTCATTGTTTATAGCTAGACACAAGCTACCATGAGATGAGCTACTCTCAGCCCAGAAAGGTACCATCTTGTAACTATGTATTACTGACTAAATATGTAGCTAGTCGTTAACTGTAGTTCTTTTTGTTTTAGTTCTGACTACTGTGTTTTTTTGAAATTATCTTGCACACTTTAATGAATATCCTTTGATTATATTTGGGTGTTCCGTGTTTCAAGTGCTTGAATCCTATTCCAGTACCTTAGACCTTAAGTGACCACATTCCTGTTTAATTGTTTGTGGAAACTCATTCTCCAAGTGGTCTACCTTGCAGGGTTGACTTCCTTGATTAACCCCAGTAATGCTAGAAGCTCCCCCCCTTAAAGGTAAAGGTTCCCTTGCTCAAAAGCCAGTCGAGTCCGACTCTAGGGTTGCGGTGCTCATCTCCGTTTCAAAGCCGAAGAGCCAGCGCTGTCCGAAGACGTTTCCGTGGTCATGTGGCCGGCATGACTAAACACCAAGGTGCACGGAACGCTGTTACCTTCCCACCGAAGTGGTACCTATTTATCTACTTG